GATCAAGTCCTGGGTCGTGAGTCGCCCGGGCCAACCAAGCCTTCCATCCCTCCGGGGTCGCTTAATTGGTACTAGACTTGTCTGGGAGGATAAAAACACTGACTTGTACATCGGCTGGCCCCTGCAAGTCATTGTATAGGCCACATCGCAATCAAACGCCACTACGAATGTACAAATGGAAGTAGAATGCGTGCCGCATCCCAAAAAGGGTTGATCATTGGCAAGTGCTTTATCCTTTATTTCTTTATCATGCACGTTTGAGGAGGAAACCTAATGCTTGGGTGTGGTTCACTGGGACAGAGAGTGAATTTTTCGCGTGTGAAACATTTTTCGCTGCGGGAACCCCAGGTCCACTCACGATGGTGGACCTAAATCCCACAGCGAGAAATGTGTCGCGCTACGAAAGGCGAAAAATTTGCTTTCTGTCCTAGTGAACCATGTTCATGCTTGTAGACCAGGGTATATTACTTATGGAAGGAACTTCTCCAATCAACGAGGAGTCTTCAATGCTTGAGTAATCAAATGAGAGGTCTATTGCAGAAAAATGCGTCTGTGGGGAGTCCTATTATTCGGGATGCTCTTGCTCATCCACCTTGGCGAGGCTACCAAAAAATTACAAAGTTCTCAGGTACATTTCTTTCTTTACAGCAATGTTTATAAGAGGAAAACAAGAAATCTAATTTTCAATGGGCTAGCTGACTATGGGCAAAGCGGTGCTCTTGCGGTGTAATCGGAAGCAGGGTAAATATCGCTTGAGGATTCCTCAACGGCACGTCGAGGATTCTCTGCCCGATCAGATACGATCTCTCACGCGGACATCACACTCGCCATGCCGTGCCGTCTGTGCTCTCCGTGCGGATGTTCACTCTCGGCACTACTCTCGCATTGGATAGAGAGCCAGAGTGACACTGGTTAAGTGCAAGTTCGCAACGGACGTTTTAGAGATCCTAAAGCAACGCTGTATGGACGGAGACACAGACGGCTCAAGCATGCGAGTGTGTACAATTGTCGCGCGAGGGAGACCGTGGCTAATCGGGCGAACCTGCGCTAACGTGGGCGTTGAAAAACTGCGCAACGCAGGGATTGACTCTGTAGAAGCTATGTCGAGGATTTCCATCGACGTGATATTACCTGATTCGGTGGAAGCAGAAGCGCCCGGAAGCGAGAGGGAGTAGGTTCGCATTCGTGCCATAGGGCGAACACGCTTTTGACATAAATCAGCCGTTTGCCATATGAGCAAAACATTGCAACTACGGCTCGATTCAAATTGAGCGGCTAGGTCAGCGTTCAGAGCCGCGTGCCATTTGGGGGCATCCTGAATGAAAAGGTAGTAATGATCTTGTGCACCATTGGTGTTGGGTACACACTTGACGGGATTTAAACGTTTTCGCAAACTTTATGAATGGTTCAACTAGATTTTTTAGCTTCATTTCGATTTCATTTTATTGTTTACGAAGGCATGAGCATTCATTAAATTCTGATGCAGGCCAAAGAAACAAATTGTACACCTTACGATGGCCGCCTTCTTCGCATTTTCAGCCCTCGATCTAGGGTGGGGTGATGTTCTGCAAGCGACCCTTCCTTCTCACATCGTAAGTTGGGGCAGTAAGATGATTCCAACATGAAAAGTGAACGAGAGAAGCGAAATTCTTATCGAAATAATGTCTAGTGGTGGAATGAAAAGGCATAATGGGTATCAGTTTCCTCTGATAAGACTTAAAAAAATTTGTGCCCTTATCTCTCTAGCTTAGGTCCTAGTCCTTTAATGGAGGCAGAGATAGCTTAGAACAAAGCAATGAAAATTATGCGATTAAACAGCGAGAATGGAAAAACTAGTTCATTATTCGTGATCAGGGCTCCAAAATAACCTATGGCTGAAGTTTTAGCGAAGTTGGTTGAATTAATCAGTTGATGGCGCCAGCATGGCACCAAATGGAGCAAATTTTGCGCCAGAGCCAATATTCGCCGATGCCACATTCGTGATCAGGACTCGATAACCCTATAGCAGAAGTTTTAGCAAAGAATTATTCTATTTGACCCTATTGCGGCCCCCAGGGTTTGTAGTGTGCAATAGATGGCGTCAATGTATTTAGACTTAGTGCTTGTATTGCATTCGTCGCACCAGGTATTTCTGATTTGTTTCGGTTTGTTTCATATGCGGTGGCAGCCATATGGCGACGTGCAGTTTGATTAATCAGTACTTATTCGCTTTTGTCGCCAGTTTCTTGCATACTTCCGTGTAAGCAATAATAGGTTAAGAAGTTCTGTCACGTATACTTTGCCTTAGGGAGGTTTTCTTGAGGCCTACGAAATTTTCTTGGCTTTGTTAGTTCCTGATTTTTCATGTTAGGGTCGCGTCCATACGTTTGGCAACAAACTGGCGAATTTTATTTAATGGCTTTCATCGATTGTTTATTTCTTGCATACCAACCGGATGCGTACCCCCCCCCATCAATATCTACAAACTATTGCCAACACACTAGTAGCTGCTCGATGCCTCCCTTGTAGGACTCTACTGAATTCTGATCGAAGAAAGATCAGATTTCGATTTTGTCATCATCATGGTTAGGATGAGCTTTCTTCTCTAGAAGGTGTTTTCGAGAGGGGAACAGAAGGGCACTATTTACCTCGAGGTCAGGGCTATAACGTGAGTACGGAAGAACTCTCCGTCCTAGAGTCTCAAAGTTTTTCTGAATTTTCAGAAGCATGAGGTGGTTCAACGGTGTCATACAAAAGCAAACTTTGCCTTGTTTTTCTTTCGTATTGAAAGCGTTGCATTCGAGCAGTGGATAGTTGGTTTTCGCGTTGACTGCGACATCTACACGGAGGGGTTTCCAGAGCTCAACACCTCTCGTGTTCCACCAAAGATCCGAGAAGGCCCTACTTGGACGAGGTTGAACTTAAGCAATAAGATCTCCCGAAGCATTTGAGCTGGGCTACCGCCGCTGGTCCATTCGTTAGTAAACTGTACCCACTCCTCACCTTCGGCAAATGTGATGGATGGTCAATCGTGGAATCCCTAGTAAGTCGACTTGAACATAACGGTGTCAGATCGTGTTTGGAGCTGAATCGGGCTCAAGGCACGTGGGGACCAAACTCTACATTTTCGGATCTGCACAAGTCTTTGAAGAAGCCACAGTGCTGTCTCCTTGTCACATCGGAATCGCTCTAGCAAATGATCGATACTTTCTCCAGATCCCTTTTTAACTCCCTCAGATATAGCATCGTGATTGTCAGTCACAGGGTGGTTGAAGTGTGGGTTATTTTCAAATAAAAAAAGTCAACACTGAGCAGAGTGAAGCGCCGTTGCACTGTGGTTTGAGAGAGCATGCCCTCGCTTATCTTCTGGCCAATCCTTGATCTAGCATGACTTGCGGAATATTCCAAACAGTACTCGTAAAAATTAAGGGCATCGAGAGCCCTCTCGCGAAAGCGGTGCAATATCCATAATAAGTAGGCAGAGAGCGAGCTGAACCGTTGGCTGAAATTGCAAAGGTTGATGCTACGTCAGGAAATATGTTGCTGATTTTCAGAAGTTCTCCCTAAAATTTTATAGCATTAAATGTAGTTTGTTGCAAGACTTATGGACCGACCTAATAGAAAGCTGTGAAGGTAGCGACGAATTTCCTTTACTGGCGTAGACTACGGTCACTTTTCTCTAGGAATTACATAGAAACCTTGGTGGCAGGTTAGTCTTCCTTCCGTAGTGTGACCCCAAACATCACACCGATATGCATCTCAGTTCCCACTCGAAACTTTCGTTTTTCACCGTTTTCGGCCTTTTCCTTATCGCCGATCGCCTTTCTCGGCCCTGGTCACCCACGTGCTATTCACGTGCGCGATGCGTGAGCGCTCACGTGACAGCCTTTCTCGGTAGCTGGCGGGCAGCCCGATCGAAACACCGCTATGCGTGTCAAAAGTGCGTGGGGAAGGGAAAAAACCCTAAAAATCGCCTATACCTTTTGAAAGTGCTTTTTTCGCTCTACAAAAATTAACTCGTCATTTCCCTCAGAATTATATTTGTACTCATGCATAATGCCTAGAAGTTGGAAAATCCAGACGGCAGAAATCGGCATTTTGACAGCTGCTGTTTTTCAGTTCACATAAAGAAAAGAATACCGTCAAAACAAAAGTTCTTCAGAATCTATTGTTCTTATCGAACCTCTCTCTAACCAACCCTACATATTTCACTCAAATTAAGACCGTTTACATGTCGTACAAATTGCGAAATAATGAGGACTTCGAGAGCGAGCCCAACATCATTTTCTCAATTCCAAATCCAGTGACTTTCTGCAAAATAGGATAAAAGTCGTAAATAATGGCAAAGTGGAAATCCATGATTAGTTTTGTGTTTTTAATTTCTTCACAACACGTTTGCGTGCAAAATGAAAAATGCAAGCGCTACGATATTATGCACCAACCCAATAAAATTGTTATTTTTCCATGAATGACTCTTTCAAACATTTTATAACATTTACCATGACATTTGTTTTCGTTACTCATCTGACGTAATCAGGGAAACGGGTCAGTTGTCGCGCCGTGTTCTTCCCGTCTGCTCCCCCAAACATTCCTATGTCATCTTCTTATCGCAGTTGTGATCGCCCACTGTTCTGTCATTCACTTGCGTGCATAGATCCGCTAGCGCTTTCTGGCTTCGATGACAGCGCTCTCAAGCATTCATTGAAGCAAAGAAAACCAAAAAAATCTCAGTCGAAGAGGTGAAGTAAGGCTCATGGCTTTCTAGGGATCTATGGGTTTTGTCATGCCCTGCTTTAATATTGTGTTTGTGGAAAGGTTAGTTGGTTTTTCCACCTTTGATGCTTTATTATGCTAGTCGCTTGAAAGCCTTGACAGACATTATAGCATTTTACATGCTTTCTTTTGTTGGCAGCAGAGGCCCTACCCTCCCGACACAAATGGACAGATTGACCATTTTCAGGGTCCGATAATGAAGATTGTGATTTATCAAACGTTTTATTACAAAATCAAAAAATAAATGATCAGATTGACCTTTTGCACACAAATGCATGATTCGTTTTTTCGCAATTATAGTTGTCCCAATAACCATCGGCATATATCTGTAACATATAGGACTCATCGCAGTACACCAAGGTAGAATTTAATTCAGAATCATTCAAATTCAAGGAAGGAAAGCTAGAATGCTTTCACATGGTACGGAAATTTACCAACTTCCTTTATTTATTGATGCTCGCTAGCGCTTGCAACGGGTGTGTATAATTAGTTTTAGCCTTGTACGGTAAAACAAAAAGGGGATCACTGTAGCGTACGGTGGGTCGCTTGCACCTATTCGGACTCTGCTGAAGAATAATCGCTCTTACTTGCTTGAATTGTACACTAGCTTTTTCGACGTCTACCAAATTTGGGGGTTATGGGGTTATTCCGTATGGGGGGTATTCCGTACGAATATCACATTCTCAGTTCTGGCTATTTGTTGCCTATTTTCTGCTCCGACGCTCCCTACCATTGGTATGATAATGTGTGGAAACAGGAACAAAAGATACCTGCACACAATCCTGACCACCATCACTTGGTTCTCCCTCAGCCCAATTTGTGTAATTCCATTCTTTGCCGTCAAGCCACGTCCACGTTCCGCCGATGTTTACGCCTCCAACCCAGCCATAAATTCCACCGAGTATTCCTGCAACTACTACACACATAGATCGAATATGTGAGGACGAATGAGACAATTAACTGCAACACAAACTAGGGTCATTACGAGCACCTTGATCTGATGGCGCCTCATTGTATGTTGGGAGGTAGCGCAGCGCAAGTAGGTCCTTCATAATTGCCAAACTTGATTACAAGTGCTTAGTCGCTTGAGTTTCTCATAATAGATTGTCCGCGTTAGCCACGAAATATCTCACAAGTGACGGCAAAATCCTGTCTTATATGTCTCAATCCGTAAATTCAAATTATAACCCCACCCATAAATTTGAATATAACTCCATCCATTACTTTCTGGAACACTTTCTAAAGATGTTACCGAAAAAGTCCTAGGAGGGAAACCGTGCAAAACATGAATACGTGTTTGCAGGTGAACACCAGCTGTCGATTTTTTGTGATTTCTCATGAATTCTAGGGAAAATTCTTCTCCAGCGCTCTCACAAAACTACAAGTCTTCCACATGTTTTTCTACCGCTGCTCCCTTGCTTTTTTCGCAGCTAAAACGACTTTCTTCGTGAGGTTAGTAGCATAGTGGAAGCTGCTGTTGGACTTTCAGAAAACAGGCTGTCAGCAAAAGAACGAGTCGAGCAGTAGGAAGCAGAGTTACGAGGTGTTCTGGGAGGGGGATGGACGTTCGTTCGAGGCTGCTCAATGGTATGCAAATGACGGAAAAAGCATATTACTTCGTTGAGAGATGCAAAACGCTATCCCTTGTGTGGCCGTTGATTTTGCTCACGCACGTGCAGCGGCTAAGACGTCGGACGTATGGACAAGTTTATTGCATGCGTCAGGTGCCAACATGTCAATCCATTCTCCTCTTGTGTTGCTCGAGTTGTGCCGCTGTATGTAACTATTAGGTCGGTCCACAATTTTTGAAAACCTTTGGTGTTTTTCGATTTGTTACTTATATTATTTTTCTGATCTACTTATCCAGCATTGTATACATCATTATTATTAACAAAATGTCACAAATGCGAGGGTATGTATTCAGTGCCTCTATCGTGGACTTTCATAGAGTTCTGATCGAAGGAAAATTGTAGGTCCGAATCAGTTCTCAACCCAATCTGACATAATCAAGTTCCTGTTGGTTTCCCATAATTCCTTCGGATGGCCATCAATAATACTCATTGGTGATGTGGACTGGGTGCAGTGTGCTAACAAATCCACGAGCCGCAGAAGAGTTGCTCAAACGATTCCGGAGTTCTGAGTAAAAACCTAACTGACTCTGAATTCGAACTTCCTAAGTCGTTGGCACAATACAGGAGGGCCTTTGAGCTGAAGACCGGCATCAACTAATACCAGTGTCAGTGATGGGAAGAATCGCTGACAGCTTGTTGGGAACGCCTTCAACTTGGAAGCGAAGGAAGACAAAATCTATTTTTTGCTGAGGTCGTTAGAGCCCGCCTTGCTAAGAAAATTCCTAAAATATTGGAGACGGTCAGTCCTTTTAGCTCCGCCTTGTAGCACTAATCCTGCGTCAACGAACGACTATCCACTCTCCTCTCTCAGTCACCCACTAGAGAAGAAATCTCGCTTGAATCACCACGGAGTCAAAATCGACATCCAATAGTTCTTCGATCAGAACTCGATGAAATTCTAGAGAAGAGAGACACTGAATACCCACCCTCGCATTGCTTACATGTTGGTAATAGTGGTGATGTATACTATGCTGAATAAGTACATAAGAGAAATAATTAATGTGAGGAGAAATAATTAAAGTAATTGAATCGAAAAACACCAAAGGTTCTCAAAAATTATGGACCGACCTAGTACAATGGACTCGTCTCTCCGTGGCGAGAGAGCGAAACTATCAATTTGCTTGGACAGGTAACAAGTTATTTCATGAAAACTTTCAACGACTCGTTTTTCTTTCGTTTCTCCCTTTTCCATTGTGTCTACAACGCTCCTGCCCCTAGCCACTTTCTTCTTCTTCTCCCTAGCGTTAGTCCCGCGCAGTCGCAGGGTCCGCTGTCTTTGTTAGTCCTCTCCACTTTGTCCTGTTCAGCGCATTTTCTGCTGAGGCTATGACCTCACCTAATAGGTCCTTTTTAATGACATCCCTCCATTTCTTCTTTAAGGCTCCTCGCGGTTGCCTGCCTTGCGCTTCGAAGCCCTTCACCTCCCTTATCGGGTGGTCCTGTAGCCGTGGGTCAAGCGAACGTTGAGGAATCATCGACACGTCAACGGGGGGGGGTCATAGTGGCCCGCTGAAAGGAAGAGATCGGACCGGATTGATGCAGTAGAATCATCACTGTAGGAGGACAAACATCAAGAATTGAATTGATGCCATGAAAGGACAGAGGTTTAATGTTATTCTGCCCACACAAAATTTTCCCGTGTAGTAATTCTCAGCAGCCTCGATGATTTACGACACAAGGCAAAGAATCCAGAATTCCCTTTGTTTCCAAGGGATATTCTATTTTTCAAGTAAGTGAGTCCTCGAACCTGAAGGGATGCGATGAACATGGCGCGTCCCAGAGTGGGCCCGGTTAAATGCACGCGCTTCGACTACGCTTATTTGAAAGAAAGTCTCAAATTAGGAAAAATTAAGGGAATTCTGAAAGGGTCCGTGTGAAATTGCAGGGAGTAATCCACTATCCAACAAGAAATGCATATTGCATATTCTGAGGGCATCACTCCTCAGATGTTAAGGTAATGGTGGTTCAACAGTTTCTTTTTGACCAAAGCACACTTCATGAAAGACACTTTATTCTTCGCTACCGTCATAGAGCATCACACTTTCCTAGACTGTCTGCAGATTAACATTCGATAACTTGATTTGCCCTTGCCTTGACCTCAAGCTTGACCGACTTCACCCTTACCTCTCTCCCAAGCGGGTCTCCCGCTCGTAGTGGGTAAGCGCTAGTCCTCCTCGTGCGCCGGCCATTACTGCCTTCGCCGCTACAGTTCTCCACCCCCGGGGAGTCTCAGCACAAGGGATGTAGATAAGAACAGACAGGCGGCTTCCTCCGCTCTGGCATCATGCCGACGCAGAGCTACACGAGAACGCCGTCACCGCCTTTGTGGCTGCTTAACACATCGACGACGCCGCGGGGGATATATACCCCGCGCATAGCAGGCCGTGTCGGACCGTGCGGGATATATGTCTGTTGTCTCAGAAGTTCGTGCGTATTTTGAACTTTTGTTTGAGCCCGCTCTTTCCCAAGCACATGTGCAACCTATCATCGTTATATGTACCACCACTATCAGTGACTTGTTACCAACATCCAACTGAGGAATGGCTACTCAACTCTCAAAAGGCTGGCAGTTATGAGCTGGAAAAGGCAGGGAGGTTGATTTTGAGGTGCTCGTGGAAATTGTATTTTTTGTCGGCACGAAGGCGGCTGAGCAGAAAGGGCAGATGTCTTTCGAAAGAGGATGATTACCGCTGCACGACGAATGTGGTAGGACTTTTCAGCTATGCTTCGATATTGAGAATCGCTTCATTTTCGAAACGTGTAGTCTCAGGTGTCGTGGAGCGTGCACACTTTTTTCGAGTTTTGACGGCAGTTGTTGGACTTTCACCGTGAGTCTCTGCCGTTGATCTGCCTACACATGAGTGAATTCATAGCTATAATGATTGACATGCCTTTAGTGGTTTACTCGAGAACGCACCAAAAGAGGTGGAGCCCGACCTTGTGGTGAAATTCTTCACTTTTCACCCTCTTCTGTTCGATCCAGTCCCTGAGGATTCTAGATGTGGTTATCATGAAACCTGAGCTTCTCAACTGCAGTAGTGGCTTTGTTCAACCAGGGCGTACGGGTGGAGTAGGAACCAAATTATGGACGGAGTGCGTGTCGCACTCCTGTCATCGGTGGTCAATTCATCGGGGAATCTTTGGCGTGGCTTCAAGCATATTTCGAAGGAGCGAGAACCTTCACGAATTGTGCATCTGGAACATCAGGATGTGGTGGCCACAAAGCAGGGAACCCCGTGTGGAGTGGCTCCCAGGAAAGAGTACAGGCTCTCCAAATCCGACACTGATGACCTCTCTGAACGAGGGTTTGTCTACCAGCTGTAGTCTCCCAAGCAGAGAAGATCCAGCTATTCTGATGCCTCACTGTTTGTGAGGGCAAGGAGATGCACCGCGATGCGGACGCCGCTTTTGGCTTCAATCGGTTTGTGGCTCAGTAGAGCTGCTTACGTCAGAGCGCGAAAAACATAGCTCTTCTCTCTTTCCACTTTGTGCTCGAAGAAGGCGACGATGGTGGGTAAGATTAAGGTATAATTTACTACACGGTGTGCCCTATCTACAGCCTACGTGAACATATTTAGGATTTGTTGAAGGAGCTTGTGGCATGAGATCCAATAAATACGCACGAACTTTCGAGACAACCTAATATATCCCGCGCACCCCTTACACTCATTTTTTTTTCGCGCACGCCTGATTCTTTCAGAAGTTTCTTATATTGATTCCATAGAAGAGGCCTTGATGTAGCTACAAACCTAGCGGCCCACAGAGTGGCCGCGTATGCTTTGATTTAGAGGAGGATTTCTCAACCATACGAAATCCTCCGTTCAATAAATTTTTCGTTATCTTTTTCTTTTTATGAATGTGATGATTTAAATAGTCGTAGAAGTAGATACGGAACTTTATTGATGACAATATGTGTGTTTTGATTGAAATAATCAACACAAAATTGCTTTTGAGGTCCATTGCAGCTAATTAGGAAAAGTTTCACTTCTCATTGTTGTTCTATGTCATTCGATCGAAATTCCACCACTTTACCCCTGGGTAGCTGGTACTCATTGCATTTCATTGGTCCGGCTCTGTATTGGTCATTATTTATGTGTTTATCATTCAAAAACTGCTTAAACGGCCTGAAGCGGCCGCGCCCGCAAAAGCGCCTCGGTCCCACGCGGCCAAAAAAGCCAGAACTCGTATTGTCGTCAATGTGTTAAATACCCGTAGAGGCGCGGGGCGGAGCACATGGAAAAAACATCATGACGAAGTCATGACAGCAGCTTTCAGCGTCAATTGCATGAAGATAT